TGTTTAAGGATCTGCTTGTTCCTCTGTCGCTTAATAAAATCTGTGGACTGTCAATGAAAACAAAAGGAGATGATAGTTCTAAGAATGCTGCTGAAGCGTTTCCAAAAAGATGTGAAGGTTGAATAAAAAGCAAGCTGTGAGAATTTGACCCATTTTTTCTTCTTCTTCAGTTCTAACAACCATTTCAACTTATAACTGTGAACTTCTGACTGCTATTACATGATCATACTTTTTGCCACCTTCTAAAATTTGCTCTCTTCAAAATCTGTTCGTAGAGGAAAACTTACAAATATTTACTTTCGTTGGCGATCACCTTCACATTTAGAGGACAAATGTAAAAGTGAACGTCCAATTTTAGCTTCTGTAAGAAAATAATTGAGTAAATCTGAACATATGTTTTCTCCTTTTTTTAATCCAACAACATATAAACAAAATATCTATCTTCTTTTGAAGATAGATATTCCTTTGATGTTTCCTGTAACATTACTACGGGGTGTGTTGTATACTGAACATTTTAATTATTCATATGTTTAGATCTTTCCACTAGATTTGTTTGAAGACCCTCAGGCTTGTTGTGCGTGGTTGGATGATTATGTCTCTATGATGAAAAAATCACAGAATAGCCCCGTTCACAGACTGCTCTGTGCCTTTCTTCACATGTTAATGTTTTGAATAATCAAACTAATTTTAATATTTTTACAAAGACAACTTACCTAAACACTAACTGCACTTTTTGAATGAGGATTTGATTCATCAACAAGAAAAAAACAACAACAAACAACCGACCCACAAGGGAAAGATGGATACGTGCGTCATGTGGAATACGGTTTTTTAATGCTGTATTCTTCCAAATTGGACACTTTTTAATAATTACTGGCCTGTTTGAAGTTGTGTCACATCATCTCTAGGAGATTTAAGTCTTTACTTTGACTGTACCACTGCAAAACTCTCATTTTCTTTGAATAAATTCACTGGTGGACTTGTGAGTGTCTTTGAATGAGAATACTGCAAGTACATTGTTGAGAGCAACAATGTACAAAAAAAAGAGCAATTAAAACAAGTTGTTGTCATCCTGAAGCAGCCAACAGCCTCAGAGCATCAAACAACCACAACCTGGCTTGACTTTATCTTTAATATTCTTTTTATGAAATGTGCTAATTTTATACCAGTTATAAAGGGACACACTCATCTTTTAAAAAATTCCACTTTTGCAGCTTAAGTCCACAGAAACATTTCCCTCGAGGTCTTCAGTTGGGTCTGCATGTTCTTCTTGGTCAGCGGAGGTTTTGGATGTGAACTTTGCCAACTCTTTCCAAGTTGCTTAAAGAATCTTAACATAAACAACTGAAGTCTGTAGTTCTTTAGATGTTCTGGCTTCTTGTGAAACTCCTGAATGACCCGATATGTCCGTGAGGTAACCTTGCTATCCCAAACATTTCTGGGAAGGTTTTCCATCATGTCATTTGTAGATTGTGGTTCTTACTGTGATTCACTGCAGTCTCAAAACCATTCTAACTGATATGAACACTAACTGATATGAGTGGCTTTGTTTCTCACCTGCTATTAAATTTATTTAGGCAGGTAAGTAAACCAAAACAAAGCGAAGGGATGATTTTCTTTTTCTTTTGATAAATGACACCTGAATTTTCAATCTGCTTTTTGTATTTACTCAAGTTCTCTTTGTCTTGTCTTGTGGAAGCAAAAAAACTAGATTCATGAACTGAAACATTAGAAAAAGGCTAAATGGAAAAAAAAATGGTGAATTCTTTCTCAGACAATTTATAATTAAAGGAGTAATTGCAATCCACAAACTCACATCAGGTTTCAGGTGACAAAAATACCTTATTTTATATGAGTTTGTTGACTGATTGTGAGCTAACCATTTCCATGCTGTTCCACAGCAAACAATGGCTTCCAGTAGAGGCTGCAAATTGCAAAAAAAAAGTCTGCTGCGACAGAGTATTTGGAGCCACAAAGCTCATAAAACCTTCAGCATGTTACATCACTAACTACTTTCATGTCAAATCCTGTGTTAATGTGTGGCTGGAGCAGCGTTGGATGTGACAGAGGTACTGAACGTAGACTAGTACCTCTACCACGTCCCCGATCCGTCCTGAACAGCTTGTCAGTTCATCATATTTATCGGAGGCAGATTCCTATCAATCATTGTGTCTTTAAAGCGAAATATAGAGCGTATATTTGTATTTTTATTCATTTGTGCGAAGGCCTGTTGGTGGTCCTGCTGTGGGTCTCATGACAGCCTGCTCATGTTTTTCCCTCTTGGGTTCTGAAGCTCCACAGAAAATTGAAGCCAGTCATGTGTGGCAGCATCATATTCACAAGACTCAGAGGTTTTCCTCCTTTCACCAAAATTTACTTCCTTTAGTAATGAGAAGGGGAACCTAAATGGCTTTTTCAGATGCATCTTGAATAGCTGCATATATTTATAATATACCAATGAAACATGCTTTCTATAAAAACCAGATGCCAACTCCCTCACATTTGCACTTTGTGAAAAAAACCCTGAAATCTTCAATGTTTATTATAGTTGCAAATCTCATCTGAAAACTCTAGAATAATCCCACTTTAAATTTAAGTGCATTTTTTTTCAGAAACTTGTGCTAAATGATTATTCACAGAAAAAGTCAAAGCGTCTACCTTTCAAAATGTTTGTTTGGGTGGAAAACAAGGAGAAAAAAGCTTCTTTTTACCTACGATTAAAACATAATTGTGTGCAGTTTGATAAAAATTAACAAGAAGTTTGTTAGATGTCGTTTGTTAGATATTCTCTACAGCCACAAACATCATTGGAGGACGTGATGTGAAGCAATGACATACTTCCTCAGTCATACTGTTAGTAAAGTAAAGGGGAGGATCTGTTATGCTGTGGACCTTTTTCTTTTTAAAGGCCACGGAAACTTTTGTTAGAATGCATAGCATCATTAACTTTCAAAGACAAGAATATTTTTAAATAAATTCAGACGACCCAAACTAAATAGATGTTTCTCATTTGCAGGGTAATAATCCAAAACCAATCCCTGTGTCAACACTTTACAGGTTCACCACTTGCTGTGACGTTTCTTGAAAACAAACTATTTCAGGTAAGAAACGTCTCAGAGGTAAAACAGCTCATCTCGTAACGTCTAGATATTTTTGGAGCTGATGTTTCCCAAAGCGAAGATCCCGAACAAAGAGTTTTCTTTGGGCTAAAACTCAATCTGGGAAGCAAAAAAACAAACAGTAGAGAAGATTGTTTTTTCACTGTTGAGACCATTTTGGTTGCACATATAATGAGAACACAACTGGGAGAGAAGTCATGAATTCACATGTGTACGGATTTCTTTATTAGCTCGGCTAAACTTGCTTACTTTCTTCCCATCTTGTAAATCTACTTGCTAGAACAACCTAACTTTCCTTACTTTGTTTCATTTGGATGTTGAGCCAAAATGGGGGGAAAAAAAATGCAAAACCGCTGGAGTCCTAATATCCAAAATTTTACAGCAAGCACCTAAATCTGCCTCCGATAAAAACCTTAGCTGGTTTGGAGAATCCAGTTGATTGTTAGAATCTGAAATCCATGTTCACAAAGTGAACAAAAGATATTTTTACTGAGAATGTATTTTAAATCATCTCTGATAGCTTTACAGAAAAAAAAATCTTCTTTTTTTGTTTTTTCAGGTGTTCAAAGTAATCAATAAATTTTATTACTTTGCACCACTTGTAGCTTCAGTCCTCACAGCGGGGTACGCTCATGCAAAAAAAAAAAAAAAAAAAAAAAAAAAAGAAAGAAAACGTCTTCATCAAAAGCTTTTGGTTACAAAAAATGGTGACAGATTTCCCTGCTGTCTTTTATCGCACTTCCCACCCGTTACAATTACACGTGGTGAGGAGCGGTTTTATTTTTGTGTTTTTTGGACATAAATCTCCGGCGGCTGCGAATAGCCGTTGGAACAACAGCAGATGGGATCGTAAGCCATTACAAATGGTGTTTAGCTGCGTGCATGCGCACTCACCCACACGAGAAAAACGTGGAGTTTTTGAGTTGGGAATTCAGGTTCTCTTCGTTCTGGCCCACAGGGGCTCCGGGGAATATTAGATTATGATGCTGCCAGAACCAACATCAAACCTGTTGTGCCAAAAGGTCACCAGCGCCCTGAAACACATATGGCGGCACTCCATAAGAGAAACTAAATGCCTCTTTTTCTTTGATCTAACTTCAGCCCCCTCTATTGCTTCCTCTGTGACCTGTAACGCACAAGCCTGTCTCAAAATGTCCACTTCTTGTTGCTGCCAGTCTCCTGCTTACCAATTTCCCCTCTGCCCCTTAGTATTTTACTTTCATATAACAGCAGACTATGCAGCTACAACTATCCATCCACCCTTGATTTATTTTTTCTTGCACTCAGAAGAGCTCCCAATATCTGCCGTCTTCTGGGAGATCCCTGACATCAGTTCAAATACCTGAGCTAACTCAGCGTCTTTGCAGACAAAGCAATGATGAAAAAGACCCCAACAACACACCGCTGTCACCCTGGACACAAACCTGACCACTATTCTTCTTTCTAAATGTCTGATTTCTCCCTTGATATTAACTATAAAACACACAAACAGTCATAAAATATGAATCTTGACTGAAAGGACGAGATTCCAGATCGAAGCAGCTGGACAGACGAGCCCTGTGGGACGACTGGCCTGAGCTCTAGCTGTAAGATGAAGAGCTGCGTCATCAGTGAACGGCTCGGTGAAGAACGCCTGTTTCCCCTCACAGAAATGCGTTCGCTGTGGTGACGTAGACATCTGCTCAGGATTTCTCCTGGGCATCTCACTTTCGGTTTGCCCAAGCCCAACATCACATCTTGCCTGGGTAAACCTTGGGAAGAAATGTAACGAGTTTCAAGATCGACTCCCTTCTATACATACAAGAAATAACGTCATGCTAGCATTTTCCAAGCAATTTATTCACCATTACTGTGCATGTTTCAGTATCACACCAGGTGACATTATGGGTTTTCTATCTTTTATTTTTGCACAACAGCAAACAGATGAAGCAGAATAAGGATATGTACTGCACTTTGTCAAATCCAGAAGCAGCAGAAAATAACAGAGGTAGGTTTTTTTTCTTAAATAAAATACTTTCAAAGTAAATGTATGTTTTTTTAGCAGTTTAGGGTCATTGTGAAAGTGATGACCTTGGTTGCGCATCATAAAAACATTTTCTCATATAACACGATGTCAGTGCCTCTCTAAGCTAAACATAGAGCAGATTTCAGTGTCAGAGACTAACGTATTACGTTCATGTCATTATCAGTCAGGGTTGTGTATCGCAGTGACAACACTCAAGGCCCCCCAGCCTGACAATTACAGTTTTAAAGTATGTTTACAGCAGGAATCATGAAAAATTCAACAGTTAGCACCAGCAAGCCAAAGGGAGGAAACTGGATGGCAAAAGAAATTTAAGGTTATGGTTTCTATCCACATAAAAGAAAAAAATCTTACACATTAGTCCCATTTTCCAATTTTTGGGGGTTAAAATGCCAGACCAGTGTGGCGTCGAAATGGCCCTGCAGTTTTCAGTGTGCAAACTTAGGTTTCATGATTTAATCTGAATTATTTGAATGAAGAGGAACAGCCAAGGTTTGGTTGCACTTCCAAAATGACAATAGAGTTTCATTTTGAAGAAAGAGTCAACAAGAAAGAGCTGAAGCCATGTATAGAAGTTGACATATTCAGAACTGCCAATCAGGACCAAGTAAACATGAATTCAGTCTCAGAATTAAAACTGAAGTGTGAAGGATTTTGAAAACAGGTTCTGCTGAAAAGTTATCTATTGACTACCTTCAAGTAGACATCTCTCCTGTTGTCTTCATTTGGCATAAATACAGAATAATTAGTCCTGGAAGCTAGAGTGAAGCTAAAGTTAAAGCCAAAGTCCTGCAACTTTAAGACATGACTCTGCTCCCACACACCTGGATAAAATGAGGCCTGGAGTTAAAGACGGCTGTTCAAGACCAAAGTTTTGCCACCTTTAATTAACATCAATCTCGAAAACGTCAAATAAATTCTCACAAGTTACATTTTATTGACCTTTGAGCCATAATTCTTTCATTGGATTTTATTTATGCTCACAACGGCAAATTTCTACATATAAGAAACAGAGGTCGGCGCCGCCAAAGACCTTCTTGTACAAAATACACTGTGAAAAGAATAAAGTGCAACTGTGTGACTTTAAAGTGCAGCAGTGTAAAAATTAGAAATATCTACATATCTCTACTTTTATATCTCCTTTTACATGTGATTAATTATTTGCTCCGTTGTAAATAACTGCGCTGTAGCACTCAATGGCTGTTGTGACATTTTTGAGATTATGGTCGTTTGAAAACTCTCTGCTGCTTCAACCTGATTATTTAGGTTTAAAATAACTGAAGATTGAAGGAGAATTGTTTAATGCAGGTAAGATATTGTCTAATAACATCTATGCAGAACCTCCCATCAAAATGTGAGCTTTATGGATTATGGATTGACCCCACTTGTTACTTCACAACAAAATCCATCACCTCTGTAATGAAAAATGTAGATTTTTTTTTTAACACTTTCCTCAGATTGACCAAATTGTACAAAATATGGGAATCTGGTTAAGTCTGAGGACCATTTCCAAACATGAAAGCTAAAACAAAACAACCTGTTGATTTTTATTTTTCTTGCAACATGCTTGACCACTGGTTATACTTCATTTATCAGACACTGAGTTATAAACTACATTTCCCAAAATGTCAAGCTGTTCTTTAAAGTGTCACTATATCTTAATGAGGAAACTCACTTTGTGCTTCCTTCATGCATTTTGCACTCCTTAATAAAAGCTTTGAATAAAACTGTTGGAATGATTTAATAACAATAGGCAAAACTCCAAAACAAAAGCACAAACTGAAAATGTGTGGCTTGCATCTACTTATTTTACCTTTCAGCTGCCACATAATGTTATCTTTTGTGGATTTAGAGAATTTTTTTCTGTATGGAAAATCCCCCTTTACAGCATTACAGCTCGGACATAAAGGACGGCGCCACTCAATAATCAGATCAGGATGTAAGAGGCATAGTAATGAAAATATACAGCATGTTGCTCCTGCAGCTGGTTTAGGGTAAGCACAATACTGGACAATGAGATTTAACAAAGAGCAAAACACAATCCACCAGATTCTCCTTTCAGGCCTAGAAGGACTTCTTCCACGACTTGCAGAGGATTTTCTGAAAGGCCCGCCGGAAGTCCCGGTTGAAGATGGTGTAAATGGCTGGGTTCAGGGAGCTGTTGCAGTAACCGATCCAGAAGAAGAACTTGAAAAGCGGGAGGGGGATCTTACACGAGTCTCCACAAATCCCGTACAGGCTGTAGCTGAAGAAAAAGGGGAACCAGCACACCACAAACACCCCCATGACCACAGCCAGGACAAACGTAAACCTCTTCTCTCGCGCCTGGGAGACCTTTTTTCTGGCGAACGAGCTCCGGCGACACTTCCTCCTGGAGACGAAGAGGTCCACGGATTTGTTGCTAACCCCGGAGATGCGAATTGGGAGAGAGCTTTTCTTCTGGCCACTTGCAGCGGCTCTCTGAGAGTCTCGCTGCTGGGGTTTGTGATCTTTGCCTTCAGAGGAGGAGCTCTCCTCCAGGTCGGCCTCCTCGGTCTGTGGACCCATGGTGACAGTGCGTTGACTGGGTGTTGGAGGGCACTGGCAGTGACCGTTCTCCCTCTCTCCATGGAAAGGCGAAGACGGCTTGCTCAGTCCATTCTCAGTTTGTGTGACACCATCCGGCCTGGGGTTCTTCCCCGACACACTCCTGGTTCTGGTTTTGGCCACCTGGTATATTCTGATGTACACCAGGATCATTATCAAGCAGGGCGCAAAGAAAGAGGCAGTGCTGGAGGAGAGGATGTACCAAGTGTCATCGTTCAGCTCACACTGAGGCTGAGAGCCGACCTCCTTGTTGCTGTCGACAGACATGAGCGGAGGGGAGGAGATGAAGGCAGAGATCAGCCACACGATCAGGATGATGCACTTGATGCGCTTCGGAGTCCGCTTCAGGTTGTACTCAACAGCCTGCGTAACGGACCAGTACCGGTCCAGGCTGATGGCGCACAGGTGCACGATGGAGGAGGTGCAGAACAGCACGTCCAGAGCCAGATAGATGCCGCACCAGACTTTCCCGAAATACCAGTAACCCATGAGTTCATTGGCCAGAGAGAAGGGCATCACCAGAGTGGCGACCAGGATGTCCGCGGTGGCCAGGGACACCAGGAACAGGTTCTGGGGAGCTTTCAGAGCCCTGCTCGTTAACACGGCGATGACCACCAGAATGTTCCCAACTACTGTGAAAAGAATCAGAAAACTTACGAGGGCGGCGATGCCGGCTATCGCGGCCAGAGAGTAGCCGCTGTCCGGGCTCCAGGAGGAATTCAGCTGGACCACCGTGAACGCGTCCATCCCGCTGGCGTTCTGCGACTCCATGCTCGGCGAATGTCGGGACGAATTCACCGTCCAGCTCCTCTAGCAACACGGGAGTCCACCAATAACGCACGGCTCCGATGCAGGTTCACCAAATCTGACGAGACAAGCGCGCACCGGTAGACCCCCGGTTAAGGTGCAGCGTGCAGCTCTGACTGTCCGCTTCGTCGGAGAGTAACGCATGTCGAGAGAACATGTCTGCTGCACGGTGGAGTATGCGTGCCATGCCTTCTCCGGCTTGTGAGGCGCAGAGCAGCGTCCAGCCGCAGCTCTGCCTCCTGCAGCACGGTGCGCTCTCGCTCCCAATAATGGCCCGTGTGTCTCATAAAAAACCCCTCACCCGCTGCCCCTCCCTCCGCTCATTGATTTCCCGTTTGTGACACAAAATAAATGCTAAATTTTCCTCAGATTGCACATTTTAACTTAAGAAAAATCCAAAATTGTACATGCACTGTGCATTTCCCAAATAATAACTGTTAAGACAGCCGCACTCTAAACAGATCTCCAGAACCAGAGCTCCTCTTTTTCTTACAACAAACATCACTTGGTCGAAACCAAGTGTTTCCCCTCGGACAGCCGAAGTAAGACTTTGATACAGAATCTTACTGAGGCCGAGATGATGCCTGCCTGGAGTCCTGGAAGGGAGGAAATGATGGGAAACCATCAAGCTGAGAGAGGCTCGCGGCGCGGCTGCGTAAAAACCAGGAGCAGGAAAACAGATCGGCGCTTTTCAGCGCCCCGTTCCTCACATGAATCAGGAGGATCAACCGGTGGAGCGTCTGCTTGTTTTTTTTTTTTTATGTGGTGAAATGTTTTGGAGGATGAGCAGCATCTGTTTTGTAGCCGGCAGGCTGAAGATCCCGGCTGTCATCAGCATCTGCTCTTTTCAATCATCGGGTTAAAATTTCTTTCTTTCTTTAGGCCTACTTTCTCTTGCATTCTTTTTTTAGTAATTTATTATTCTTGATGTATACAATTTTACATACTTGCACTTTTTGATTTATTTATTGAATTATTCATTCTTTTGGCTCTTTCTTTGGTACATTTGTTTAATTTTTGTCCTATTATGCACCTTACAATAAAATTTAATTTTGCTTATTTAGTTGATTCTTTGTCATTTGTAAACTTTATTTGTGAAAAAAAAACTTTCTAGACGATATCACAGTTTATAAATATTTATTCGTATCTTAAATTGGTACCATCAACTGCCAAACTTACAAACAACAGTTTCCTGACAATCACATTTATTTTAAATTTCGCTCAAATCGAGAAAAAAAAACAACAAAAAAACTCAAATATGAAGAAATATTTTCAGTCACTATTAAAAAACCACCCAATGAGGGAAGGTTCTTCTAAGAGTGATTTTTAGTCATTGCTAAGGTAAAAAGTAATGTCTTCTCTGCTGGTGTTTTTTGAAAAGTAGCATTAGTCATCCTACTGTGCAGATGAGATGAGCATTTTGTTTTTTAAACCATTTCTGTGCTCATTTGGCCAAATGTTTTGAATCACTGCCCTGCTACACCAAATGAAGACATATTTTTAGTTTTTAATAGAGGCTCAGAGAAGTTTATCTAAAATGTCCTAGCATTTCAAGAAGTTTATGATGCCATGTTCATCATTAGATCATCATTAGGTTTCCCAAGCCTTTGGAAGAGGAGAAAGCCCACAGAATTGATCCTCCAATAAAGAGTTAACGATTTTTTACACATCTTATGGTGGCAGCAATTTTCTGGGTCTTGTTGTGGCTAAGAGAAATATTTAAGTTTAAGTCATTTCATGAGAATTATTGGAGATGTTAATAGTTGTGCCACAATTGATTTAAACTATTTTTTTTCATCATGGGATTCGTCCCCCCAATCCATGCTAGAGTTGTCGAGACGTGTGTGATATAAAAACAGACTCGGTCAAAGTATTTATTGTAAAGTTCCTCCATGTCAGTAATTCAATAAGTGAAACACATATAGATTAATTACACACAGACTGATGTTTTAAAAACTTTAAAACATCAGTATATTGCTTCAGTATATTTCTTAAAAGTAGGTGAATGCTGCCCAAGTCAGTTTGGTCTCCTGACACCAACATTTCTTTCTCTACTTTCATTGTTTTCAAAGTGATCTTCAGCAGAGTTACTGTGTTTCTCTTTTTTTTTTTTCTTGAAGCTGTGCCTTTTGTTTTGCATTGTTGTGCACCTCCTGAATAACAATAAGCCAATAAAAGTTTCAAAACGTTAAAAGTTCCACTGGTTTCCGATTGTTGCAGCCCATATTGTGCTCGTCTCTCCTTGCTGAGTGTTACTGGAGGGCGTAACAGGGTCGATGCATTTTTCTCTGTATGCACACAATCCATCTGATTGTTAGAAGTTTAACGTTTACTGATGGTTTTAGGGACTTTTGTTTTTCTTGATCAATGTTAGCTTTTCTTTTTTTGGGGTCTCCAGATGCTCTTTGTGTCTTTTAGGATAAACGCTGAGACTCTCTGTGGAAAAAAGTGCTGACTCACACCAGATTGAAACTGTATGTGAGCTCAGATGAAGTATGGACTCAGATCATATCCTTTGAGGAATGATGTTTTTGCTATAGATATGCGGGGGAAATACTTTATGCTATGCAGGAAAAAGGTTTTGCCTGCTGTTTGTGGCCCATAACATCATCTTGATTCAACTTTTCCCTTCAGGTATTTTTTCATTTCATGCAAAACAAGGAGTGTGAGTTAGGACATTTTTATTGGTTTGCCTGCTTTATTGCACAACAGCAAAATAACAAAGAAACTGTCTCTTTATTTGAACCCCCTATCAACCACTGCTCCACTTTTAAACCTTCCTTTTCCTTTAACTTTTTCCAAAATGGTTCTTAAAGTCATGAGGACTCGAGCGCAGAGACTAACTCTGGTAAAATGAAAATTTTAATAAGAAAAAAGCAAGAAGACTTGCAGAACAAAAGGGAGAAGGGAATAGTTAAAGGAGAAGCCGGCAATAAAACCGAGACAGAAACTAAGAGGCTTAAATACAGTGTGATTGTAGAGAGAGGCAGGTGGTTGATAACGAAGAGGGAGTAGAGAAAAGAAGAGAGAGGGGGAACAGGTAGACTAAGGATAGATGAATAATTAACACTAGAAGCTCAACGACCCTATAAGAAACAGCATGAAAGAATCCCACCGATCGAATAAACTACATCCAAATGTGCAAAGAGCAGAACACGAGAATAAATACAGAAACTGAAATACAAGGGATTGAACCTATATGGAGAGATCTTAATGTATAGAGGGACCTGAACAGAACGTGGCTAAACCTCTTAGGAAACAACACAAACACAACAGAAGCCAAACCCAAACATCCAAGAGTCGTAACACTTTACATAAATTACTAGTGCTGCTTCCAGAGAATCTTCTGAAAAGCTTTAGGTCCTGGTTGCTGATGATTGGGTTCGTTAGCAGAAACTAATTCAGAAGAAGAATCTGAAGAGCAGGTCTGAGCTCTTGCATGAGGCCCTCCGTACTCCATACAGGCTGAATCTGGGTTTAAAGAACAGACCAACCGATTCCAGTCAGGAATGTTGACACCTAGAACTGTGTGAAGCTGGAGTCCAGTAATCTGTTCTTTACATGTGTCAATAACAAAAAAAGCAACATTGAAGTAAATGTATTATGTGATACACACCTCCTGGCTTTGGGTTCTTTGTTTTGGAAGCGTATTTGTCTCTGGACATTAAGGTTTGTCTTCAAAATATTCCCAAAGACAGGAATTATGCGGCTGAATGTTTGGTTGATTTTTACATTGGGGTCAGCAGACCTGACTGGATAACAAAGGAAAACATGTTGCTAAATGAGCAAAACTGTCGTCCTGAGTCTGACCAAGACAAAAAGCAGCAGGTTTAACGAACTCAGCACGAACCCGAACCTCTCATGAGTCTGATTGCAAGTTTATTTACAGGTAATAATTCTGAACAATTCCTGTAATTGGCCTCAGGAAGGTGACTGTGACAATGACACTGAATCACATTCTATTTGTAGTTTGTCAGAAAGGTGGAGACCCTTTCCTTGAATATTCAAGGTGTGTCTGAAGATCACATTCTGATGGCCGGACGTTTTCCCTTTCACATAGAGAGAAGAATCGTGATTCCTTCACCAATAACAAATCTCAAAGATGCAAAAACAAACCCCCACATCATCACTTTATTACCTCCACCATGTTTTAATGTCGGTATTATGGTTTGTTTTAACTTCTGCGTTGGTTGCACACCAAAATGTTTCACCATCCACTAGTCCGACGACCAAATTATATATTATAATATTTAAATATTTAACCGAAATGAAGCTTTGGAGAAATAGGTTGTTCTTCATGATCCTCATTGATTTTTACCTGGAAACTCTCCCTCTAATGTTTTTTTTTTTCATTTATTTATTTATTTTTTACCTATTTCCTTTCTTATTGTTGAATAATCAGTTTTGACCAAGGTTGTGATTTTCTGATTCAGTTTTGTTTATTTGTACTTGTTGAGATTGAAGTGTCCTCTTATTATTTCTTAGAAGGATTAATGATTTAATTGTTTTATTTTCACCATGTACTGTTAAACATGTCTGTTTAATATTTTTCAAGCATGAAAAAATGAAAGACATTTTTAAGCCCACTCTGAAATTTTTTTTTCCCCCTGTCTCCTGAAAAAAGAAAGCTAATTAAAAGATGCCAAAGACACAATTTAATTTACAGGAAGGGACACACGACTGTGTGGATATGACTAAAATTAACCGCTTCAGTCTTGAAGAAGCGTTAACAAAGGCTTCCTGCTCTCAAAACTTAATCCTTTCCAGATGAGTGGTTGACCAATGAGGTTCTTCTAATGGATGTTATGCTGTTTTGTCTAATGTGTGACCCTCAAACTGCCTTCATTTGAGTAAAGCGGGCAATAAAGTTTAAAATGTCAAAGTTTAAAATGTAAATCAGGTTTGTAAGCTTGAGGTGTCAAAGTTAGAAATGGTCAACAGTCCCATTCAGCAGCCATGTCCTACATATTTATGAAATAGAGTCAAAAGGGAAAGAAACCATGCCTGAATGTCCAATTTGGTTTCATGAAAAGATAAAACACCATCCATGTTTCATCGTTGAATATGATCTGATAATATGATCCAAATAAGCTTGTCTAATATGGATTATGTTCCCTCTTTCTGTTCTGATCGCATCGCTCTTTTCAGTTTTCAGGAACAGATGCCGGGCCGACTGTCTGAGCTTTCATATTCGGAGAGCTTGTATGAAAAGCATCTGTGTTGCACCAGCAGTCACTTCAAAATGTCCTTTTCAATGCTGAGCTCTGCCAACAATACAGAGGCCGACAACGCTTCACCAAGTCGTTCCGGCATTCAAAGTCCTCTAATGCCCAGTGTTACTGTCAGTATCTGAGCAAAATGACAAACATGAGCTACATATTTTTACAATATGAAATATTCTTGAATTGTCTGAACAGACAATGTAAACAAAATCGATGGTCTAATATATTGACAGGCAATGTCTTCTTTGATTGTGTTAATACCTCCTTCTACCCCAGATATTTTTGCATACAAGTTTGCATTGGCTTTTCAAACATACTAAATATAGATTCAAAAGCAGCAGAATCTGGTTGTGGTTTAATAAATTGCGTTACGAATGATAAGCTGCTACATTTGCTTATTTTCCGCCCAGAAAGCAGTCTCTTAGCTTTCTGATGATCAACATATGTTTTGCAAACAGGCAGATGTGCTAAAGTTTGCACCTTTTTTTTGTACAGGAAAGCCTTTTAAAGATCAAACCCTGAGTCTTGTGCAAAGAGTTTGTTTCGCATTTAAAACCTAAAAGAGCAAGCGAAAGGATGTGAATCATTTCTTTTTCTTTCCTTAAGCAACAACATATAAAATCTCTACAATCCAAGATTTTTGCTCAATCGTGTCTTGTTCTGAATGCGGTAAGAAAAGGCATCAATAGTTTGAAACTGTGAGAACAGTTCATGATACTCCTGTAATGAACTCAGTCACTTTGATCAATGACTATAATATGCAAGCAGCCTGCCTGGCAGCGTTTGCAGCTGTAAAGTAATGA